AAGACCCCTAGCTCCCTTTAATATCAAGATATCATTCTCAAACTCGAACCCTAAGCAGGGGTCTATGGTCCAAACAAGGCTGCTGAAGATAATTTTTATGGGCCAATTAGGGGGGTCACAGAGGGCCCCTAAAGGTATATTGCGAAGATGAGAGGAGAGAGCTTTTGAAGCGAAACTGCGCTAGGCTACACGTATCACTGTGGACTGGAAGGTAGGCCACCAGACAAGCAAGTTCACTGCAGGATGGAGGGGACCAGGGTTCGAATCCCAGGGACGGACAAATTTTCAAAAAAGTTTTTTTTTTTGTTGCTTATTTTGAATTATATTATTTTTTTATGTGTTTTTCCATATTCTGGAGGTTCCTGCATGAAAGAAAAAATATTTTTTTATTGGGAAAATGGGAAAAAACTGGAAAAATCCAGGAAAATCAGTCTATTTGCTCTTTTTCGACTTCTATTGTAACATTTTGGATATTCTAACATGCATGGGGTGTTTTCTGTGTGTGAAGTCCAGCAAAGAAAGCGTAATGGAATAATAAAAAAATAAAATGGCTCGAGAAAGTTTCAAATTTCAAGACCTCCCAGCTCCCTTTAATATCAAGTTATAATTTTCAAACTCGAACCCTAAACAGGGGTCTATGGTCCAAACAATGCTGCAGAAGATAATTTTTATAGGCCAATTAGGGGGGTCGCAGAGGGCCCCTGAAGGTATATTGCGAAGATGAGAGGAGAGAGCTTTTGAATTCAAACTGCGGTAGGCTTCACGTATCACCGTGGACTGGAAGGTAGGCCACCAGACAAGCAAGTTCACTGCAGGATGGAGGGGACCTGGGTTCGAATCCCAGGGACGGACAAATGTTCATAAAAAAATTTTTTTTTTTTTTTGCTTATTTTAAATTATAAAGAGCTTTTGAAGCGAAACTGCGGTAGGCCTCACGGATCACCGTGGACTGGAAGGTAGGCCACCAGAAGAGCAAGTTCGCTGCAGGAGGCAGGGTTCCTGGGTTCAAATCCCATTGACGGTCAAATTTTCCAAAAATTTTCTTCTTTTTTTTCTTTTTTTTGTTGTTTATTTTAAATTATATTATTTTCTTTATGTGTTTTTCGATATTCTGGAGGTTCCTGCATGTAGGAAAAAATTTTTTTATTGGGAAAATGGGAAAAAACTGGAAAAATCCTTAAAAATCAGTTTATTTGCTCTTTTTAGATTTCTATTGTATTATTTTGGCTATTCTAGCATGCATGGGGTGTTTTCTGTGTGTGAAATCCAGCAAAGAAAGCGTAATGGAAAAATAAAAAAAAGAGAATAAAAAAATAAAATGGCTCGAGAAAGGTTCAAATTTCACTTCCATCTCTTGTGTAAGAAAGTCTAAATGTTTTTTCACTAATTTGACAGTAAAATAATAGAGTGAGAAATCGGCTTCAAATTAAAATGATGAAAGTTAGCAAAACAAAAGTTTTTAATTTTATAAAATTTCTTGTTTAATATTCTTTAGGAATTTTGTGTTTACTTTCGGTGGTTAATTCTTGATCTCTGGAGAAAAGAAACTTAGTCCAATTCTTTATTTCTTAACTTTGCACTTGGAAAACTTTATTTCAAATATTTTTTTTCATCTTAGAAGTTTTGAAAATGTGATTTTAATATTATACCTAACCATTGCTCATACTCCTCTCCCTTGTGGGCAAAATAATTATAAACCCTTCTCAGTTTTGCTTTTGTAATATTAGGACGACCCCTTACGAATTGGAATAGTAAATAAAATTCCACATTTGAGCTGCTCTTTAAATGCAGCCTTCCTGAAAGACAAATTTTGCACTAGATGTTCATGCTTTCAAGGGCATACTGATAGAATTCGTCTGGCGTGCTTTTTATGGAATTTTCGCCAATAAATTCTGCCTTCAATTTATATCGGATACTTATTTTAATGCATATTAATCCAAATTACGGAAATATTGACAAATGCAAAAATAAATTAGTTAAATTTGTTCTTGTTCATTTACGTCGCACTAGAGCTGCACAATGGGCTATTGGCGACGGTCTGGGAAACATCCCTGAGGATGATCCGAAGACATGCCATCGCAATTTTGATCCTCTGAGGAGGGGATGGCACCCCTGCTTCGGTAGCCCGACGACCTGCACGTGAAGTCGAGCACTTTACGGTAGAACAGTTCAACGAGGACCAATAGTTCACACCCTCGGTCTCTACGCAGGCTGATCCAAGTGGTCACCCACCCGCACACTGACCGCAGCCAGTGATGCTTGACTTTGGTGATCTGCTGGGAACCGTGTCTTAACGATCAGTCTACTGCGGGGCCTATTAATTCCTTATACCTAATGTTAAAAAGGAAAAATAATCAATCAAAAAAAGGAAAATTCAAGAAACAAGAACAAATTTTTTTTTTTTTTTTTTTTTTTTATGTTTTTGNTTTTTTTGTTAAATTTTAGAATTAATATTACATTATAACTTACCCCTTATTTGTCGATGAAAAATTCCTTTCGTACAATTGTTTAGTATATTAAACAATAATTTCTTTCCGAGTTTGAAACTTATAAGTTAATATTAAAGGGGGATACGGGGTAATTAGTATGCTTAGCGTCAGAGCTTAATTTTATCCGTTCTTTAGCTGTTATTCTCTTTTTCCAAAAATAAAATAATAATTTTCGGATACAAATTTCCAACTACTAATTAGGCTAACTAGAACGTGGCATTTCTGGCCATGCCACACCTAACATGCTGTTGCCCCGAATATTATGCCTTAAGAACTTCTCTGCTGTTTTTTAACGAAACCTATTTTGGTCCTTTGTGGTAAAAAATTCCTTTGTTACGATTGTTTAGTATAGGAAACAATGATTTCTGGCCGAGTTTGAAAGTTATAAGTTAGTATCAAAGGTAGATATAGGGTCATTTGAGTGCGAAGCGTCGGTGCCGAAATTTATCCGTTTTTTAGCTATTATTCCTTCGTTTCAAAAGAAAAACAATAACTTTTATATAAGAACACTTTGTTCACGTTAAAATATTGAAGAAATAAAAAAAATTAATTAAATATAATAAATAAATAAAACAATTTAAAAATTACCCTTTGACTGGGATCGAACCCCGGACAATTCAGTCTACAAATTACTAATTCGGCTAATTAGCCCGCCGCTCTACTGCTATTATTTTTAGCTATTGGCGAACGAAATGGGCTATAGGTGGCGTAGAGCAGAACTCTTTATCTATGGCAATACTTTGCATGGTTTCACTATTAGCATAGGGAGAGTCATAGGACAAGGAAGTACGTCAATTTCTCTCTTGATTTTCAAATAGATTAAAAACTTTCAAATTAGGAAACTATACGCAACTGAAAACTATACAGAACATAATTCTAATAGAAAGCGGTTTGGAAATTTTACGAAAATATTTGCGACAATGAAATACGAAAAATATTAAGGAGGAGGAAAATATCGTAGAGCTATCCTATACAACTGAAAAGAGGAGGAGAAGGAAAGGGGAAGGGCCAAAGGCATGGAACCCGTCGTTTTCCCAGATGGCATATTCCAGCGTTGCGATCGCGAATTATTCCTTCTTTTCAAAAGAAAAATAATAAGTTTTGGATAAGGAACACTTTATTCACGTTATAATATTGAAAATATTTAAAATAAATAAAAATAAATCTAGAGAATTAAAAATTTCCCCTTAACCGGGATCGAACCCCGGACCCTTTCGTCCACAAATTTCTAATTACAACTTCCACAACTTACTAATTCGGCTAACTAGCCTGTGGCGCTTCTGACCAGTTTACGCCTCACAAGCTGTTGCCCTGATTATTATGCCAAAAGAGCTTCTCTGCGTTTTTTTTTAACGGAATCTATTTTAGACCATTGTGGGCCCCCTAATTTTTCTATAAAAATTCCTTTGGTACGATTGTGTAGTATAATAAACTATAATTTCTGCCGAGTTCAAAAATCATAAGTTTATAATAAGTACAGATATTTGATCATTTAAATGCGTATCATCGGAACCGAAATTCAACCGCTTCTTAGCTATTATTCGCTCTTTTCAAAAGAAAAAAAAATCCTCCGGGATGTTTCCCAGACCGTCGCCAATAGCCCATTGTGAAGCTCTAGTGCGACGTAAATCAACAACAACAACAACATCAAAAGAAAAATAACAATAAGTGAGCTATAAGCAAAATACTGCATACTGCAAAGAGTTCCAAAAAAGTCCGTCAGGAATCACTTGGAAGCGGTAAAAAGATTCCGTGAAAGCTTGTTGAATTTGAAGAAGAGCCTCAAATAAATCTTGATAGGCTATATTAAGCCTTACCTATTGCACGCCGCACTTTACTATACTCAACATCACTTATCATTAGTATTCACCAGAAAATTATTAAGATTAATTCAAACTACTACTAATAAGTATTAAAAATGGTTACAGCACAACTAGGTTGTAAAAATTTACTGCAATACTGAGTATTTTTCATATTTATTTGAACTTTTAAGGTCTAACAAGAGATACTATGTATGTTAGGTAGGATCACCAAAAAACTAACTTAAAATAATTAATTTCATTCAATAATTCTTGGATTTTCTTTATATTTCTTTGAAATATTTACTTGTTTTAAAAGACGTGTGCTTAAAATTCGCACAGCTTTGTTAAGGAAAATAGCTTTTCTTAATGAAGTTTTTAAGCAAAAATGAACTTCATACACTGTTTAAGATTAAATGCGTTGTTAAATATAAATTTTTTGTGAGCCAATTTTTGTTTGTTTCGATGTTTTAGATGTGTTATTCTGTTGTTTGTTGCAGATGTAGTTAAAAAGTAAATGAATAATCACATGTATATTATATACCCTCAGAATACAGTAGGACCTGTGCATATCAACAAGCATCACTTAGGTGTAAAAGGGTTTTTTAACTTGCAAAATTTTAAAAACAAACATGTAGTGGTTTACACTGCTTCAATAAACACTCTTAAAGAATTGATGAAAAGACCTGAACAGTTTAAAGTAAACAAACTCTAGCGAGAGGAATAAAACATTTTAATGTTTGTTATCTTCATCTGAATATTTATACTGCTAACTCTTAAGATCAAATGAAAAAAACAAGAGAAAGAGGATGATCAATTTGTTGTCTACTTCGTTTTATGTTTCTTTTTTTAAATATTTTATTTGTGACATTTATTTTATCACATTCAGTGTTTTCATTACAGAAAAAAAAAATGGGAGAGAATTTCTCACCCTTTCTCAAAAACAGGGTGAGATTTCAAAAAGTTAAGTGAGATTTCTAAAAATTAAAAAAACCCGAATAGACTTTTAAAAAAAATATTTCTTTAATAATAATAAATTTTTAACATCTTCTGATTTCTAAACCATTGAACATTGAATATTTTTGCTGCATTATCATATGGAAAATGTTCTATATCTACTTTTTCATCAGCTATTCTCATTAGGTTTGCTCAAATGCTTACCAATCGATCTGTTACGATCTTTTGTTTTAATTCGGCTTGGGGGGCTAAATAACCTTGCAATAGATGCTGAACTATTCGGAATCACTAATTAAATTTGTAGCATTGTGCACACACTTTCCTATCCTCTACATCTGCCAGCATAGGTTCTTCACTTATTTCTGTTATGGAATAGTGAAGTTCATTGAAGTTATTTCCATGTTCATACTCTTTGTCAGGTCTTCCAGATTAGTTTTCACAGACTTAAACTTTTACAAATTGCTCTAAATTGTCGATGAGGGAGTTTGGTAATTCATTAACAGCGAAAACTAGAGATAACTTTAAACAACTTATTATAAAGAACTCACTTTTTTTCTCAACACTTGTCATAGCTGTTTTCATGTCTTATTCAAAATGGCGGAAGACTAAATTTTTTCCAAAATTCGAGAGATTCGTGCATTTTAAAATTGATAAACTCAGTGCGCGAACTTCTCGCGTTAATCATTTTTTAATGCGAGAAAAGAAAAAAATATGCGAGATTCTCGCGCTGTAGTGAAAACACTGACATTATTTGTTAACTGTAATACTGGTTACAATAATTACATACTAAGTATGTTAAAACACAAACATCTTTATTGGCTGAATATTCCAGATGTCATATGACGTCTCCCCTTTAAGAAAGTATTCACTGAAGTACAAATATAATTTGAAATTCTATTTTCTTTTAAAAAATCACAAAATGTTATTGTATAAATATTGATGTTAATTATCATTTATTCATTGTTTTTGTATTAATTTACTAGCTGAATACCCGTTCTACGTATGGGGAGAGATCAGCTGCAATTAATTAGTACTCGACAACAGTTCAAAATCCTGCTCAAAACTTTACCACAAATTTCAACACAATAACACTATAATTGTTTATTTATTATTTGTTGTGCTTCTGGATTACTTTACATTATTAGATTAAGCAAAACATGTTATCCCATCAAAATAAAGAATAACTGTTTTCATTATCATTTGGTAGTGTTGCTCGAGGTAACTCGTAATATTTAAAATTTATCACAAACAAGATACATACTTCCTTCTGTAATTCGTGGGGATTAGGTACTACTGACAGTCGATACTACTGGTAATACATACATTCGTGTTACATGGAGAGAAAAACCTCCCACTGTTAGCCTGATAGCTAGGAGACTCTAACCCGAGATCTATCTACCACCTAAGATATTTTACATCAACATTGTGTTCAGTTTGAGCCGGATGCGGAATTCGTATTGACGAGCCATCGCTGAGATTCGAACCCGGTTCTTCTCATTAGAAGGCGAGAGCTCTATCCCCTGAGCCACCACGGCTCTTACTCATTGTTTATTTACGACTACCTATGTTCAACTCCATAACCTTGTAATTTTGAACCCAATCCTTAAGACAAGGAGACTCCTGGATCAGTTCCCCCAGAGGTATTGATTTGTTTTGGGATCATGGAGGACTTTGCGACTCGAAGGATTTAACCTGCATCAGCCTCCATTTACTATACAGGACGTCTTCGGCCTGCCTGGGATCGGGCACACAAACTCTTGGACATGGGACCTGTGCCCTACCAACCAGGCTATCCCGGCCCTTTACTCATTGGTTTGGGAAATTACTTTGTCAACTTTTTTAGCTTCTACCATTGCTTTATACTGCTTACAATTGCTTTTATTATTAGCTAGGATGCCATTGCCTATACACATAGCAAGCTCTTCTGGTAATAAAAGTTGTCTAAAGAGAGTGATTGATACTGTTGCTCCTGAAGTTCTTGAAATAAAGAATGAATGTGGAAAGACACCTTTGATGTTGGCTGTTATTCACAATCACTTTGAATCTGTGAACCTTCTACTCAAAGCTGCAGTACATGTTGATAACTCTGATTCTCTGGGACAAACAGCTCTATATATAGCCACTAATAAGGTTTGATCACTTTTTTCATTCAGAGTTGATAATATTTTTATGCTGATACTCGTATATTCTTTCTTTTTTTGTTTTGTTTCTTTACTAAGAAAACCTGAAAAAACATTTTTACAGTATTCTTAGCAAATCTGAATTTAATTTCAACCCATAAATATAAATTGCAGGGTTCATACAGAGATCAGAAGAAGAAATCCAATGAGTATCCAAGGAGTCCAAAATTTTAAGGACTTATCAAAAATTTAAAAACTTTGTGTAAAAGATAGTTTTTTTTTAAAATTAAAAAGTAGTTATTATAAGGAACTTGCAAAAATTTATATTTTGAATCAAACTTCGTCAAGAAAAATAAATTAAGTTATCACTTTGACACATAAATACATTTTCCAATTTCAAATATTTTAATAAATCTTGTTAAAGTACAGATGTTAAGGATTGACATAAAAACCTAACAATCTTATATTTTTAAATTTGAATACATAAGAAAATCTAAGGCATTTATTGATAGCTGTATTCATTTGGTTGATATTTTCGTCTTCTTTAGAATAGTTCAATTAATTTTTTGTTTGTCTAAATTTTGTACAACTAAAATTTTTCAATCGTAATTTGAGACCTCATCTTCTTACATTGTTTAACTGAGAAAAAAGTGAGCTTATTTTTTTCTAAATTAGCTTAATTTGGTCTGTCAAATTGTCCAGTAATGTATAGTAACATGTAAAGCAATGAAATAAAAAAATAACTTTTAACAAGGAATTTTTCAGTTATATAAACAAGTAAAATCATATCTCCTGAATACCAATCACAGTATTTGTGTTTAGTATAGCTTTTTTTAGTAGTTTTTATGGTATTTGCCTGTTTTTTGCCACATCATGTTCAAGTGTTTTTTTTTAAATCCTAAACAGTTCACATGTCCATCCATCCATTTCATTTTCATCATTTAACGAAAATGATTTTCTATGTATTTACATTAACTTTGTGGTTTTTTTTTTAATTTCAAAATAGTAGTGCTCCAATGCTAAATCATGCCAGAATATGATTTTTTAATTTTATTTATTTATTTTATTTAAACTAATCATTAATAATGATTAGGACAGGACTTAAATTTTTATCATCTTAATTTTAAGTAACTCAATTTTTTTCATGATTTTTTTTCTTACTGTTACAGTTATTGATATAAAATATATTAGTTTCATAATAACTCTTTTTTTACTTGTTCAGCTTTTGTTTTAGTCTATCCCTTTTAATTGAAATACATAGTTAAATGTTTTCATCATCTTATTTCCGAATTTTTTTTATCCTAATTGAGTCACATATCTTCACCCATTTCATTTTCCTCATTTTACACAAATGAGTCTATATGACACAAATGAGTCAAATGAGTTTCATCCAACTATGTATTAAATTTTAAAATAAATTCAATCGTAATTTTCTATAATCAGAATTTTAAAATAAAATTTAAAAAAACATCCATGAAAGTAATGTAAATGCATATGCTTGTTTCCGTAAAATGAAGATGAAACCCATGTGACCCAATTAGGATTAAAAAAAAAAATACTGACCATCATACATATATATGATAATCATATGCATGATAAAGCAAAAAGGATCAGCTATTTAACCACTAAAAAAATGACACTGAATTAATTATATCCAGCAATGATGAATTTACTTGTTTATTTAACCAAAAAACGTGCCCTGTATTTTAATTATTTTTATTTTATTGCTTTAGAATAGATAATAATTGGGTCACATGCACATTGTGCTCCGGAAAAATTCTGGTTTTCCGGATTTTTCCCTAACCGCACTCCGGAAGTTTCCAGAAATCCTAGTTCCAGAAGTTTCAAGAAATCATCTATCACATTTATGTATGAAAATTCTCGTATATTTTATCTAAAAATGTTAGAACTAGAATTTATACTTGGCATCTTTCATTTGTAAATATTTTTTTCTGGTAGAATAATAAATGTGATTAGAGATAAAAGTAAACTTATACATAATTATTCATTTAAATTATGCTGTATATAATTTATTTAGAATTTAATGTTTTGAAAATATCAATGATTTAAATTTATAAAGACATTAATTTTTTGAAATGCGTCATGAATGATTTTACTTAAGAAATTTTCAGGAATTTTGAGTTGGGCTCACAATTAACCCTGCACATTTCTGTGCATGTATTTTACATATTATTTTCTACACACAGAGACAACCCCTACTTCTTTGGACTGATGTATTTTTCTGTCCTTTGATTTTAGTCACTCTGTTTTTAATTCTTTTTTTTTTTCTCTCATAGACGTACACCTCTACATTACGCTTGTATGAGAAGTGGTTATTTGAATTGTGTATCAGTGCTTCTTGAATCTAATGCAGATCCTAACATTGTTGATAATAAGGTACCAATACTTTTGTTACTTTCTTACATTGTGTTTTTACTAGAACAACTACATTTTCAATAGAATCTTATGAAAAACACTGACTATCTGGAACTTAACTAACTGCTCTTGAAATCAAAATTTTCTGAAGTTCAATAAATAAAATCTTAAAAAAAAATAGAACTTTTTGACATTCTCATTAAAAGGAAGTTAGTAAATTCTTTTGATATAAAAATTAATTCATCCGTAGTACTTTTACTCCCTTATTTGATCTACTTTAGTTATGATTTCTGCAGATTATTTATTTTCTACTTTGACACTTTAAACTTATTTTTATCTGTTTTGCAAAATCTTTGTAATTCGTAATATATATTTATCTTCATAATTTTCATTTACCATTATTATAGTCTCTAACAATTATAATTCATTTAACTTTATTTTTAAATGTGGATTTCATGATGCCTTAAATTTTTTTAAGTCTGGGTTCTTTTTCAAAAACATAAGGTTATACCGAAAAACAAGGTTTTTGATTCTTGAATATTTGGATTTTGCTGAAAATCTGTGCCTTTCAGATAGTCATGTTTTTACTGTATTTAATTCATTTACTAATTAGTATTTTTGTTTATAAATTAAACTGAGGCTTCAATGGTCAGCTTTGCTATCTAAGACTTGCTTATTAATATTATTAGTTTTGTTTTTATATAATAATTTAATCCTTTTTATTAAAATTTTTTTACCAACTACAGGGGTCTGTCCACGTTGGATTTACCTACCTTCACAAATTAAATTTTAGGAAAAACGGTAGTTTCACAAATTTAACTTTAGGAACACAAAGTACTTTTTCTTCAAATTTTATTTTTGTATCCTTAAGAAACGATAAATCTATATTTTTACTATGTTTTTGTGTTGATTTTTTAATATCATTTTTCATATATTATGTCTAAATTTTCACAAAATAGGTACCTCTCAGAAAAACCTAGACAGACCCCTGAACTAGAACTTGTTTCAAATGCTATATTTACTGAATTGTTGATCTATTAATGATACAGTGGAAGATTTATACTAATTAATTTTATAAAATGCAATTCTCAATGAACCACATTAACTTAATTAAAGCATATTTAAATTGATAAATTTTTTTGGATTTTATTTCTAATTCTTCTGATAATTTTAATCTTTTACTATGAATTAATACTTAAATGCGTATTTTTGTGTAACAAAATATTTGCATTTTAAAATTAATTGAATTGAATATCAAGATTTATATCGCGCTATTTAGTGGTTAAGTTTAATGATATGCGAAATTATCGATGTTACTGACAATTCTAGATAATACAAAGACTAATGTTTGAAGGTTTGCATTATGTAGAACTTTCAGGGATGAGAGTTTTTTTCCTGCTTTTTGGTGGAATTCCACTTGTATTTTAATTTAATGAAGAATATCTGAAAATTTTTTTTTGTAATAAAGTTCTGGTTTTTCTAATTTTTAAAAAAGGGATTTATTTGTGGCAATTTTTCTTACGTATGAAAATATGGTTTAAAATTGCATTTAAGTAAATCTTAAACCGCACTTTGCAATTCGTATTTGCACAATTTAAAATTATACATCACAATTCATATCTGTGTGATTAAGACATCTTACATTCAGATTCATATTTAGGCAATTTTAAAATCATGTATCAAGGTTTGTATTCCCACAGTTTAAAAAAAAAAAAAAATACTGCACATCAATATTTTTTATTAAACATTAATAATATTAATTATACTTCACGTGTGCTCATTTTCCTCACTAAAAGTTCTTGTATTTTTTTAATAACCTAAATGTGTTTTGCACTTAACATTTTTGAACTTCTATTATTGTACAGCAATAAAAAAGCAGTTTTTTTTTTGCATTTTACACCCTATTTATGAATTGATTCATAAATTATTTCATGTTTTGCATGTTTCTTTGAAATTGTTCATCAATATAAAATTTCATTATTATTATTTTTATTATTGTATGATTTGTTTTTGATTATTTTTATTGTACATATTAAATTTTTCAAGGGTAAATTACCTCTGCATTGGGCAGTATTGGCTAATCATTGCGAAATTGTAAAGTTGCTATGTGATTATGAGACAGATGTAAATACAATGATGAAGAAAAATGATTGGTAAAATAATTTATTTTCTTGTTTTATTTCCTTTGATTTTAATTTACTGTTTGGTTTTAAAATTAGACTATTTTGTTTTTGTTTGTTTGTGTTTTTGTTTGCCTTTTTAAAACAGGCAAATCCTTAAAATGAAAAAAAAAGTGGGAAATCCAGTTAACAAATATCAATTTCCAACTATAAAAAATTTCAAATTTTTTGTTGATTTTCTACTTAGGATGTTGCAAAATCACCATGATTTTTAAAACTTTCTATCATGCACTTTTCAAAATTTATAAAAAAAAAACTAATTTTAACTAACTTTAAATCCAGGAATAGATTATTGTCAGTAGCTGCAATTCTTTTAATTGTAGCTTATTGGTTGGGAGGAGGGAATCATTCATAAATTAATTTTTGTTCAGTTATACACTGTATCAACTAAACTGAGGTTTCCATGTTCAGTTTTGGCATCTAAGTTTTTAATATTTATATTAACAGTTTTATATTTGTAATTGTAATTTAATCTTATTAAATTAAAATTTTATATTACTAGCATTGAAAATTTTTACCAATGTGTATTTACTTAAAACTATTGATATTATTTTGTTAAAAGTTAGAAAAAAACTTATTAACTTAACTAACTTGAAACTTAACTAACAATTATTTTTATAAATTTTACATTTTGTACTTTTGGCCCCATAAAGCATTATTGTGTCAATAATTTTTAAGTTCTGAATTTTGCTACACATTTTATATATGCTAGGATTATGTATGTATGTATGTATATGTGTGTATATATATATATATATTTACCTTGTTCCAGCACGCGAGTCTGCCCAATTTTAAGGTTATTAAATCAATGGTTTTTTCTGTTCTGACTTTCAATCCTTTCCCACATCATGGAATGTAAAAACAAGAAGTGGTATGATGCTTTTTATTTTCAATCAAAGTTTTGCTTTACTTGATTGCTTGTTTGTAAAATTTACTGCACGCAGGTTGTCAGTGAAAATTCGAAAAATATTTCCTTCTCAAACTTTTTGTAATTTTGTGTTAATAATAAGTGTGTATTATTTTAATTTGTATAAATTTGAATTTATAATTTTTATATCAGTTTTGATTGCTAAAAAATATATGCATCAGTTGATTTTACCTGCATTCTTTGAGAATTGTCTGATGAATCAAAAGAAGAGAAGGAAACATTTTGGATTTGAGATCGATACTAATAATAGATTGATAGTAATAATAAATTGATACATTGAATAAATAAAAATATTAAAATTATAGTTAGTTTAAAACTAGTTACAGTGAATTCGCGATAACTCGAATCTGATAGGACTGACGAAAAACTTCGACATATCGGAAGTTCGACTTACCGTTAGTTTCGGTTTTGAACTTTCAAAATATTGTCAGATTATTTAATTAATGCGTATTAATCATTTTTCTGACAAGCCATTTACGATAAGACTGTTTGAAGCACTTTATGATACCCTGGTCCATCGGCTGCAACTTTGCTGTTGTGTTTGGCGGGAGAAACTGCAAGTTTACTGCTTTCAAATTAGGTTGATCACTATGTGCTGTGCATTTATCCATAAAGAGTATCACTTTTCTTTTTTTAGCGAA